AGATTTGTGCAGGATGCTGTTGGAAGGACACTCCATGGAAGCAAACAACCATCCCTTCTAGTCCATTCTATATATACAGCTGGACACTTTGCCCTTGCATTCAAGGTGTGGTGATTGCAATGACAGAAGTGCTAATAGGAAGCAGGAATATCAGTTCCTGATGAAGCACTGTACAATGCCTCATGATGCTCTGCAGGTGATGTCAGTGTCCTGACTCCCATTATTCCTAGGTAGCTTGGGAAGTCAAGTGACTTATCCAGCAGAATCCAGCAATCTACGAAAGAGCATTGAAGAACATACTTTAACTTTTCTAGCTACCAAGTCTTGTCCCGAGTTTCCCACTGACAAAGTCTCTTTTCCACAGTGTCCCCTTCTGCAGTCCCACAACCTCCTGCAAGCTGCCTTGTGGCACCTGGGATGCATCAGCTGGGGTCTGTATCCTCCTTGTATTGTGTGGCACAGGGATTTCAGAGTAAATGTAGATTGTTGACCAAGCCACTACAGCATCTCAGGCCCACTTTTTCCTCCCACAGGTCTTCATTCTATATTGCTGTTTCTCAAAATACTGCTCATGCTGCATTTAATGGAAAAAGCCCCAGTTTCTCATTCAACAGTTTGCCCCACTAACTATCACCTTCCAATTATGTACATGGTAGGAAACTAAACATTTCTAAGATGATCTTTATTACCCGATTTTAAATTTCATGTCCACTACTGTCCACACTTCACCACAGAAAGCAGCCATGTAGCTTTCCTGACTTTTGGGGAGTTCAAGGCCAAACCACCACCTGCAGTGACCTTACAAACATTTTAGCTGAAAGGCTTACATTTTAAACTGATGTTATCTATAATTTCACCAAAAGTATTGCTTCTTATTTTTCACACCATAATAAAAATTCAGATTACTAGAAAGAAATCTGATTCCAAGTGGACAGACAGTAATTTCTGTGTCAAAACCAAAGCCCCTAAATTCTGGAAAAGGAAAATGAGACCATCAAACCCAAATCTGTCTTACAAAGAAAGTCAGCGTCTGCTGCCCTTGGTTAGATAGCCCAGCTTTGAAACTCTAACAACCTGTCAAACCATTTCTTGCACAGGAGTATTGTAAATCCACTTTGGGCCACCCAGATAGTAATTTCCACAGCGTCATCGAAACAGAATGCAGAGTCAAAGTTAGGGGGATTGTACACTTCTGGAGAAAGTTACCACTTCCACAAGATAATTTTTTAAATACAGAAATTAGGAAGCAATCACAAGTGTTCTTACAGAAGTACTGAAAACAATGACTAAAAGAAAAAAGAAAAGAGAAGAAAAGGAGTTGTACAGAGGAAAGGTAAAGCAACATGTGGTATTCATGCGGAAAATTGCCTATGCTAAATTGGAGCTAATTTTCAGCAGTTCCCTAGGAAGGGTTTAAGAAGGAAGAGAAAGCATCAGGGATTCAGGCAGTTCATCTGTCAGTACCTTTTATGACCCCAAAAGCTTGCTGAGGTGAGGAACAAAGCAAACTGAAGTCCATTTCCTTGCAAGGAGCAGGCTCCTAATTAATGCCAGGTCTCAAAAAGCACAGAACCAACTGTTTCTTAGCAAAACTGTCCCTGCAGGAAGAAGCTTATGAACGTCTCATGCTGTGACATTTCCCTCACAAGCAATTAGCAGGAGATGGGAGAGTAAAGAACAGAAATGCTAAATCAATGTACATTTCACCTATTCGGGTCTCTGATATTTTTTGTTGTTGTTGCCAGTTCCAGGAAACTGTCAGGCACATTTAGGAACTGCAAAAAACTTGACAAATGAAGAGATGAAGGTACTGTGGTTGCACAAGCCTGAACTGGCAGTAAGTGCAATAGCTCATGGGCTGATACTGGGGTCTGGAGAACTGAACTTCACCATCAACACCCTAAACTATGACAGACTTTTTCCTCAGAAGATTTCTAGATAACAGTAAATTTGTGGTACTGACTGACATTCTGAATGCCAGAATTCCAGCCCAAATGGACCTGGAGCAACTTGAGGACATGGAAAGCAGAAATTCGATGAAGTTCAGAAAGGGCAAATGTGAAGTTCTATATCTGGGGTTGAATAAACCCTGCACATGCTGTGAAGTTAAAGACAACCCTAAAGGTTATAGCAGGAACATTGAGATTTGGATTGAATCCAGGCTATCAGGAGGCTCCCAATGTTCAATGTAAACTGCACACTGGGCTACATGGAGCATGGCCAGCATCTGACGGGAAGATCTAATCCCTTTCACTCATCCCTGAGAAGCCCATAGTCAGACCATGCCACCAGTCTGAATTCCTGTGTCATGTTGAGACACTGAGAAGAGATCAGTAGATGGTTACCAAGAAGGACAGAATCTGGGGCACACCACTGTGAGGAGAAGCCCTGAGATGAGTTGGGGCAGGTGCAGAGACAATGATAATGATGACAGGGTCATGTACTACGGAGATGTCAGACCTTCTGAGCCTTCTGAGGCCAAAGACTGTCCTTCTTTTGACATAACAGAGACTTGGACAAGACACTAGGAGCTGACACCAACTAGCCTGAATTATGTAATTTGTAGGTTGGAGCTGAGCAGATAACATCCTAATTAATCTTATAACGGCAGAGATAAAAACCTGCTTCCTTATTGCTTGGAAAATGAGAAAGCAGTGTTTATTCATTCTCCATCTTTATTGCATTACTGTGTATATTATGCCTGTATATGGAATGAAGATAGTAAAAATTAACCAATGGGGACATTTTTGTGCCAGAGAAAGATCTGTCTACTGCAGCTGTGTCTGTGGGTCATGCCTTGAAGAAAATGAGATTGTTTTACTTCTAAGATCAAAAGTAGATCCAGACCTTGTTTTTAACCAAAGATTATCTATCAACTTGGGATGTGTACATCCTGACAGCCTCTTCTCTTCTTATCTGTGGGCACTTTGAGCACTGTCATCTAAGGTACTGCTGATGAATCCGGATTTGACTTTTGGAAGAGAGGTGATTTGACTTTTGCAGGTGCAGAGTCTTTCCCTGATGCAACCTTTCTATGATACGTGATCATCCCAGTCAAACGACTTTGTGGAAACCAAACTGTGACTCAGAGGTTTCTTTAAGGAAATAGTAAAATGAGGCTGTTGTTAAATATGCATGTACAGTGGGGAGGAAATAGCTTATGTTTTCTAGTTTGCTGCAGGACATTTTTTATGGGATTCATTTTCCCTGACTTTAGCCATGTAGCCTAATTTAATCATGCTGTCTCTGTCTGGATCTGATGAAGAGACACTGGATGAGACCCTCCAGAGGACAATCCAGACCACTGATGAAGGCTCCACTCTCCCAGATGAATTGACCAGAGACTGTCAAGACTAGAAGTAACTAAGACCAGAAATATAATTTCTCAGTGAGTGAAAAATAGGTGAGATGAATTTGATTTCTCTTTTGTATTTTTTTTCTCAGTTCTTCTGATGCACTGGAAAGTTGAAAACTATTGCAAAGAAAAGCTTTATTTAAAAAGTGGGTGTTTTAAATTTCTATTTATTTAATGGAAATAAACACATTTGATTTCATTCCTTGTGCAGCATTGCTGTCCCTAGACAATGTCAGTGTGGCAGAAGATGATATAACATGTTTAAACTGTCTAGGATAAAATGTCTTTCTACCTGAATTGGTCAAACCAGAAGTAATTGTGGAACACATACTGATCAAAGAGGGGAGATGGTTCCTGACTTTTACCCGCTTTAGATAATCTGGATAAAATTCAGCATTTTGTCAGTGTGCTGTATGATCTAATCACAAAGAGACTCTGAAGCCACTCTGTAATCTGCTCCTTTCTACTGGTTGCTGCAGTTTATAATGATATAGAGTGTTTCTTCATTAATACCAGTCATCCTTTACTCAATGAGAGGGGCAGATCTGTCTGCTGCTGCTGTTATCTTCTATTCTCCTTTCATTTCTGTTTTCATTGCCTTTGTGAATTAGGGCTGGATTTCACAAAAAAAGGTCACAGAAAGATCTACCATTATATTAGACGGACTGCCAGATATGTAAACAAATCTTACTCCCTCTTCTCTCTCTTCTGTTTTTAGTATTTCACTTCATGTTTTTCAAACAAGCATCAGTCAGAGCAGTCATGTAAAAAATAGTGAGGTTGCAGGAAGATGCTCTGCTAGGGGCATTTTGATATTCTTTGATCAAACCTCATCAACTGCATAAATTACCACTGTTAAAACTGAGAGGGGGAGTAGTAAATAGCTTTTAAAAAAATAAAAAAGTAAGGATCAGGAGGTGGTTGTGTGCACTACTGAGACAGAATCTCCTTTGAGGGTCAGTCTTTCAAACAAGGTGCCTGCAAGACAATGTCTAGCCTGCCCCATTTTGGCATAAGGCAGCTTTTATGTGGCTGCATTCTTCATTCAGCAGCCTGACAGAAATTCTTATGAAAAGAGGCAGTGATCCCAGGAAATGACATAGAAATCCCATTTCTTGGCTCTTGAAGCTCTGCAGTTTCCTCTATACTGCATTTCACCTCTTCTATCTGGTGTGTGTTTTAGGGATGGTTTTCCATAGCCTGAGATAAATGGTCTCAAAATACTTTGAAAAAGAGTGGAAGTTATTGCTGTCTGCTTTGGGCAAGGCAGATAGTGCTGACTGAAAACCTGGAGCACACCAGCTTTGACCATCCTGAATGAGTGGATCTGACCAAAAAGGAAAAAGACGGCTGCTGACAATTGCAACATGGTCTGGTAATAGTTTCTGTTAAGGTGCCTTCAAAGGAAGCAGACAACAGTCAAATCTATGCTTTGTGTCTAAATATGTTATGCTCGGAGCTCAGATGAGGATGAATCTCATGGATTTACACTGCCATGATGAATGACCAGCCAAAATGGTGGTGTTCCAGCTTGGTATGGCTAAATTATGCTTTTTAAAACCGGATTTCAAATTAAGCAGATGTTTTCCATTGCTAAAAATCAAACTTGATACTAGAAAATTCATAAAGTATCTACCATGGACGAACCTCCAACATCACTGGTTTTAACCTCAAGACTGTATGTCGTGTCCTCCATCATCTGCTCATCGTTTATGACAGCTGGCATCTCACACACCAGGGTTCCCTTTTCATTTTTCAACTTTGATAGCCATTCACCATACGTAAATGTGGCCGTTTCTTGATTAGTCAGGTTCTTCAGGATGATCTGTGAAGAGCCAAAATAAGGGAAAAAACCTTACATCAGGTACCATTTGAATGAGGGCAAAGATTAAACTTATGAAGTGTACAGTATGGCAGGTCATAGGGAGAGTTCGACCATAGCTTCAAAACCTGTACTGAGGTCTTCTGCAATAAACGCAGCTGTCTCCTCCTATGGACAATATTTGCTGTGGTGATTTGTCCTGAGAAACGGTCTTCATAATACTGTAATACCTTTTCTTCCATGAGGCAAAGCATAGGGAGAACTTTGCTCCGCTGATGTAAGTTACGGACAAAGCTCAACCTTAAGAGAGTCAGACCTTTCCTGGGACCCAGCATGGAATTCACTCCAAAAAAGTAACATAGTTATTAAAATTTTCATTATGCCTCCTTGAAGGAAACAGCATCTTTTTTTTGTTTTTGTTTTTGTTTTTGTTTTTGCCCGACTCCTTTGTGTGAATACGCAGAGATCACTGTAGAGAGATGCAAACCAATCCCAAACAAGTTAAAGCAAGGCTCAAGATAAAATTAGGCCAGCAAAACTTAATGTTTCACACAATTCTCCCTCTGGGAAAAGGTGACAGAACAAACAGTATGCAACAGATATTAGTCATGCTATCTAATGTCATGGAAGGAGCTCAAATACTGTGGTGCTAACAGAATGGGAATGAACACAGAATAAGTCGGTGAGTTACTCCAACAAATGCCTAATAAAATATGCACCTTTATGACTCCTGTTGAATGTGGGCTCAGTGGAGCATCAGTCAGGTGGGAGAAAGGCATTACACCTGCCTACAGCAAAAATGTAGCAGTAAGTTCTCACTAAATTGGGGGAGTTGGAGGGAAGGGAGAAGACAGGGCTGCAAATTACCATTTCTGTTACCATTTAACAGAAACAGAGACTGTATCTGAGTGCAGCCGTGCATCAGCAAATACTGTTTCTGCAAAGGCCAAGAAACATGAACCCAGACATATCAGAGAAGGGTGACAAAATATTGGGGAGGAATGAATCATGCAGTTATGGGAAATGTTGAATTAAAAGAGATGCCTGGAGGTGTATAGTTCCAGCTCCTGCTCCAAGCGTGGCTGACTGCAAAGCCACGTCCAAACGAGTTTTGGAAATCTTCAAGGCTGCAGATTCCCCAAACACTCTGAGTACTCATCCCAGAGCTGCACCACTCTCATTGGAAAGATTTTTTTCTTTATATCTGATTGGGATTTTTCTCATTGCAACTTTTGTCCGTTGTCTCATACCTTTTAACTGTTCACCTTTGAGATGAGACTGGATCGATGTTCTCTGTAGCCTCCCTTCAAGCAGAAGCAGATCATAATTAAGCCCCCTCAGTTTTTGCTTCTCAAGGATTAAAACTCTATTTTCCTCAGCCTTTCCTTGTGTGCCATATGCTTCAGCTGCTTGACGACCTCAGTGACCTTTTGCTAAACTCTTATATATCAGCCTAAGAAAAAAACCTTAATAAAACTTATCTTGAGATCAAGTGTGCTCAGATTCTGTCCTCAAACTCCAGGTGTCCCACTCTATGACCTTCTGTTGACCCCAACCAATTTTTGCTGGAGCTTTTAGCAGTTCAAAAGAAGAATAATGCTCCAGGTTATAAAAATTTATTTTAAAGAAGGCAGTAGCTACACTGAAGCTGAGCAGGAAGCCATGCCACTTGTGCATTCAATGGTTCTGTGGGTAGGACAGTCATCTAGGGTTTTCACTCTGCCTGATGGTATACAGGGTTCTGTAACAGCACCTTCATCTCATGGGGACAGGACATTTTTGGCTGCAGAAGCTGTCCCACTTTTCAAAAAAGCTGCTTATTCACAGCCAGTTAACACTATTACTTTGTGGTCAAAAAACTGTTCTATGACTCAAGAGATATTTAATCAAATCCTTGCTTTGAATCAAGCAGAAATCAGGTCTCCCCTACCGCACCAGGTAACCTCTCTGCTGGGGCACAGACCAGGTGGAAGTGCCCTCTGTCATAAACATCTACATCCTCTTAGGAGTCCAACCTAAAAACTTTTCTTTGGCCAAAATTTGCAAAACTGAATTGTGAATAATGTCGACTTGACCGAAAATGTCCTTTCTTTTTCCCCTGGTGCATAAACATTATGTTGGAAAAGTTTCAGCCAGCAATACCTCTGCCCTACTTGGGAATGACAGTGACATTGTTAGTAGCAAAATGCCCTGAGCAAAGCTTTCAGGGAATTGTCAGGAAAGCACTGGGGGGGTTAGAAGCAGATTAGAGTTGTCAGCTGGAGTGCGCTCGCAGACCGAGACATCAGACCTCTCACAAATACCCAGCCCATGCTCAATGCTCCAGATGCTGTCTGGGAAAATCTGTCTGGCTACTAAAACTGCTGGAGCAAAATGCCCTCATCCCCAGTCTCCCAATCAGGATGTGTGATTTCTTCCATATGCAGCCTCATGTAAGCAGTTAGCAGAGACACAGATAGGTGTCCCTGATATCTCATTCTGGCATGCCGTTGCAGAGAAGAACACACAGGAGAAAGATACTAATTTTACGAGCTTTGTCTGCCCTGGGAAAACAACTGTGAAACCCCAGCATGCCCTGGGATGATCCTGAGCAGCATGGGCAGCAGGGCAAGGGGGTTAATCTGCCCCTCTGTTCCACTCAAGTGAGACCCCATCTGCAGTGCTGCCTACAATTCTGGGGCCCACAACATCAGAAGGATGTGGAGATGCTGGAGTGAATTAAGACAAGGCCAAGAAGATGCTCTGATTGCTGGAGCTCCTCTGCAATGGAGACAGGATCAGAGCTGGGGGTGTTCAGCCTAGAGAAGAGAAGGCTCCAGGCAGACCTTAGAATCACTTTCAGTACTAAAGAGGCTCCAAGATAGCTGGAGAACGAATTTGGATAAGGGCCTGGAGTGACAAGACAAGGGGGAATGGCTTCAAACTGACAGAGGGCAGGGTTAGATTAGATATTAGGGAGAAATTAGTTACAGTGAGCATGGTGAAGCACTGGCACAGGTTGTCCAGAGAAGCTGAGGTTGCCCCACCCCTGTAAGTGTCCAAACCAGGTGGGCATGGGAAGATGTCCCTGTCCATGGCAGGGCAATTGGACTAGATGACCTTTAAAGGTCATTTCCAGCCCAGAGTATTCTATGATTCTATGATCATAGCAAGGGACATGGAAATGGCAGGAAACCTGCAGCGGGCTGATTGCTTGGTCACAACATGGGTACATTGCCTCATTTACTTAGCATGAACTGCCTAAATGTTGGTCATCCAGCCCAACCGCATCACACTGGCCACGCCTGCGGTCAGTGGTGGGACCTGGATATTCCTGGGGAAGCAACGCATCCCACCCAAGCTGGGTACAGGTAAACTGTGACTCAAGGCATCTTTCCCTCTCTCAGATCCATCTGTCTGCTGACTACATGGGAGGCCTAAATAGTTTGGTAGAAGAGGTGAAAACTGAATGTAGTGGTTTTCAGTGATGAAAATAGCAGAAAATTAATCTCATTCTACATGGAGGTGTTTGTGGGTGTTGCACACACAGAAGGTGATGCAGGATTTTGATTTCAATCATGAGGGTCAAGCAAGTCATCTCAGGAGCTGAGACTATATTTCTTTTCTGTCCCTTCCTCTCAGAAAAACTAGCTACTGCTTGGCAATGAGACTGCTACTTTACATTGCATCTAAACTATTATTTTAAGATGCCTAGAACTTGCTGTGGACATCCTGTGTGCTTTTCAGCTCAAACTTTATTGCTAATTGTGCATCGAGCTTAAGTGGACTGTAGAACACCTATAAACAATGAAAAGAAAGCAGAAGCATTATGTATGAATAAAATGTGGATAACTTGCTTTGTAGCTGCAAATACTGTAGTTGACAGGAACTTTAAAATTAGACAACTAGAAATTAATTGTACACTGCTGCAATAGAAAGATCTGACATGTCCAATCATTTGATTTACCCCTACTCGGACTTCTCCTAGATGCCATGTAAAACACACTCTGCAGGGTATCCCACCCTACTGACACCAAAATACATAGGTCGTGGAATTCACCTTTAAAAACTCCAACACAGGTTTTTTTCTTCTGCTGCATGTCATTATTCTTTGCTTAAAAAGAGAATCCTCTGACTGTGAAACAAAAGGACTTCACTCTACTGCTAAGAAAAAAGTCGGCTTCAGCTATATAATTCCCAATTCTCAATAATAATTCTCAAATTCTCTTAATCTCCTTTATACAAAGGAGAAAGAACTGAATAAAGACTGAATCCCAAAGGCAGGATTATTTGTGACGTTTGAATGCAATGCAATTAGTGCTTCATTAAGGCAGCTTCTTATCTGTCTGGCTTTGACAGCACAAAGTAACATTAAAATTCTGGGTGAAGCAACTCTGCAGAATTCAATAGTCTCATAATTCCTGGTATTTCACTCAGAGATCTTTCATCATTTCTTGTTTCTATCTTTTCAATTTTGTATCTAAGACACTGGACAGCAGGTGAAATCATCACATGGGCTGTGGAACCAGCTATCCCAGGAGGTTGCCAAAGCATCCATTTACATAAGTTTCCTAATTAGAAGTTGCAATTTTTGTATGTTGATGGTACTGAGGCACTGACACAGGTTGCCCAGGGAAGATAATGGCTGCCCCATCCTTATAAGTGTTCAAGACCAGATTGGATGGGGCTCTGAGCAACCTTGTCTATTGGAAGTTGTCCCTTCCCATGGAAGGGGGGGTTGAAACTAAGCTTTCAAACTGAAATCAGACTGTTATTCTGTAATTTTATGGTTCTCTTCCCTGATTTTTCAGAAACACAGACAAGTGTCATGGTAGCTTGACGTGGAAGAACATGAGATCCAGCATTACATCAGAGGAAAAGATTCAAACTCTTTGCATTTCCCAGCAGTGCAGCCATCAGAAAGCATTGCTCAGCTTTGGAGAACTTTCACTGTGCCTTTTTGTGCATAGTTATGATTAATAATGTTCATTCTGGCACAATACCTCACTAATCACCCTTTAGGTAGTGGCATTTAAAACTTGTTGCCACTTGTGGTGCAGTTTGAATAATCAGTACCAAGTTCATTACTTGGCCGAGATTTTGAATGAAATTTTAGTGCATTTTATCTAGACAGGAAAAAAAAACTACTTGCCTGCTTGGAAATTGAATCTTTTGGCTGCGTACAGCATCATTGATATTTCATGCATTTTAATTGGTATTTATGCATTTCTATTTCTGGCAAACTAAAAGCAGTATAGATTACAACCAGCAACAGTTTACCAGAAGGCCAAAGAGAATTAAAAAGATCATGTATTGTTAGTTTAATAGAACAAGAAAACTAAGAATATCCCATAGATAAATGGAGCAACAAATGGTTAATTATGGGGTTGATGGCTCAATCTAGCTTTTCATTTCACTGTGCTAGTTAGCACTAACTGTGAACCATCTGTCTGAGAGTTTAGCACTACCCCCACAAGTATTTCATTATGCAGTTTTAATATACACTTTTGACAGAAATGGAAATGGGCTCAGATCACTTTTCATGTCACACAAGGCTACGTAAGTTTTTGAGGCTGGAATACAAATCAGAAAACACAAATCCTTCCTCCCTGCTTTCAGAGCACTCTTGTCCTCACTGTCTGCCTAGGAATGCAAATGTAAACATTACCTTTGCAGGGAAGGTGCAAAAGAAAACCAATAAATACAGTTTTGTAAGTGTCACTGGATTTAAGATCCTTCATTCTCTGTTTCTCTATGAAAAAAAGAAACTCTGGCCATAATTTTTGTAAGCTTCTAAAATCATAGAATCATAAAATAATAGTTTGGGTTGGAAAGTATCTTAAAAGCCATCTAGTTCCAAACCCCTGCCATGGGTAAGAACACCTTCCACTAGACAAAGTTGCTCAGATCCCCATTCAACCTTGCCTTGAACACTTACAGGGATGGAGCAGCCAGTTCTTCTGGGCAACCTGTGCCAGTGCCTCACCATCCTCACAGCCAAGAGTTTCTTCCTGACATCTAACCTAAGTCTCTTCTCTTTTAGTTTAAACCCATTATCTCTTGTCCTATCACTATCTGTCTGTGTAAAAAGTCACTCTCCCTCTTTTTTATAAGCCCCCTTTTAAATCTGGTCTGAAGTGTAGAGACAATGTACTTAGAAGAAAATGGACACCTTGTGAACCTGCCATACGGGGAGGTGAACTAAACACGTACAAGGTTGGGAGATGAGTACCAAACACAAAAGAAGGATTAAAAAACTCTGCAAGGATAAGATAAAGGGAGCAGAAGAGCAATAACACCTGTGAAGGGTGGACTGAGTCAGACTATTATCCAACCTATCATTTAGCTCTTAGAGGCACGTGAGCAAAGGCTTTATCCAATCATTATATGTGTGATTGCGTACACGGGGAGAAACACAGTATATTAGGGACAGTAGAATCCTAATAAAGTGGCTTCAGCCTAATTCACATTGAATCGTCTGGAGGCTGTTTCTCTCCACACTGAAGACCTGTTTTTGTGCACACAGTTCACCTGTGGCTTCTATAGAGCTATAAGATGGCTATAATACCATTAGATATGTCCAAATGAGAGTCCATTTTGCCTGTTTCCCTGGGAAAGTTTTGCTTTGGGTAGGACAATCAAGCAGGCTCAGGTTTTGGAATGCCTAAATTCCTGCAGGCAACAGGAAAGTGGGAAGGTGCAACTAAGGATATTGCCATCTCTCACCTTTGAGCTATTGCTGATTCATGACTGCAGGACCTGGATGTCTCTGGATGAAGAAGCTTTATTTGATTTCATTTTATATGAATATGATTTATAAAACTCAAGGGAAAGTATGGGAGAAATGACAAAGGGAGTTCAACCAAGACATCTGAATCAAATCAGAGAACAGATTGAGTTATTCTTTAGGCAGAGAGAGAAAGATTGTGTGTCTGTGGCGTCTATTCTAAAGATATATGCTGGAGGTCTAATCCTTTGAAATGCTGCACAAGAGTTAACACAGAATCACAGAATGTTAAGAGCTGGGAAGGACCTTAAAGATCATCTAGTCCCAACCCCCCTGCATTGGGTAGAAACACCTTCCATTACACCAGGTTGCTCAAAGCTTTATCCAACCTGACCTTGAACACTGCCAGGGTTGGAGCATCCCACAACCTCCCTCCAGTATCTCACCACCCCCACAGCAAAGAATTTCTTCCTAGTATCCAGCCTAAATTTCCCCCTTTCAGTTCCTCTCCTTCCCCAGTTGCTAAGAAAAAAGTTATAAGTGTAAATGCTCAAGTTAAAATGGTACTGTGTGACAGTAATGCCTTTTATCTCATGTTAACAAAGGTGAAAAGATGTTCATCACTTCACTGGAAACTAGTGGCTACCTAGGACCAGTGCTTAGAAACACATTATGGAAAAATGAAAAAACACTTCAGACTAGACAAAAAGGATAAAGGACCCAATTTAAAAAATAATCTGCTGTTTCTTCTGACTGTTGGTTAAACTAGTCGGTTGTAAACTATTCTTATAAAAAAGTCAAGAGGCAGAAATCCAGAAGGATATCTACTCCAGAAAAAGTATGTTGAATTCAAGTGACAGAGATGTGTTTCTTCATTAATGACATCTGATGGCGTTTAATCAGCACATGACTCCTCCTCTAAGGGGACCTCTAAAGGGTCAGAGCATAGCAGAGATCTGCAGGGACTGAGGGTACATCCCAGGGACAAGAAAATATTTCAGGTGCCCCAGTGGCAGGGATTGGGATCTAACAGCAAAGTGTGTGATAATATCATCAAATCTTAGAATAATTTAAGTTGGAAAAGACATCCAAGATCATCAAGTCCAACCATTAACCCAGCACCACAGTGGTCACACTAAACCGTATCCCCACATGCCACATCCACAAGCCTTTTAAACATTTTCAGGCATGGTGATTCCACCACAAAAACAAATGCTTTCCAACACAGCCTTGCCCCTTGCTCTCTTCTTTCTTGACTCAATTCCTGCATTGAAAAACCATGAGAAACCAAGGAGAAAAAATGTAGGAATTAATAAAAGTGAGTATCACTCAGTGCCTTTCTCCCCTTCATCAAGGACTGAGAGGCTTCAGAACAAGCAGGCTGTGAGAGACACGTGGTGTGGAGTGCATTACCCTTTCCAGGAACCAGTCCGGGCGAGTCCCCTTTCCATCTATCCGGACCCTCATCTTCCTGAGGGGTGCGACATCAGCGATCTCCATAATGAAACTGTCCTCTTGGCCTCGCTCAAACCTGGAGGGATTGAAAGACTGAGGAGGTTTCTCGGCTGCTTTACAGCATCGTTGCATCTCTGTCTGTGCCACAACTCTCACCATGCTAACTGCCTCAAATTAAAAGTTTATGAGTGCACTTTATTGGACTTGAGCTTTCCTGTCCTGCAATCAAAAGCCACTGTGCCATTGGCAAGACATGTCAGAGCAGATCTGACAGGGGTTCCTCCTCCCCTGGAAAATCAAGCCCCTACGAGGCACCTGGAGCCATTCCAGGCAGCCTGTAGCATACATTACTGCTCTGATTGTAATCAGAACAATAGCGACTCACAGTCAGGTTTCTGCACATTGCCTTCCTCCTGGCAGCTGCCAACTTGCTTGCCCTTGGCCCATCTTAGCACAAGGCAAAATAATTTTGCCTCATCTCTTATCACTGAGATGCAGCACATAACTTTGCACTTGCCGTGGAGACAGGCAGTTGCTGCAGCTCAGCTAAATACAGCACCCAGATTGCAAGTCAGAGCCCAATGTCTAAGTTTAGTAAGCACAGGCAAATTGTTAGAAAGGAGCCAAAACCAGCCTCATGAATTTGGGGAATTTGGATTTGCAAACTACCTCCCTCTTTGGTAAGAATCACAGTGGGTTTGTGTAACATTGCATGAAAGACCTTACCCTATACTTGGCTGCTGCTTATAGGCACAAGGATGTGTGGGAGCTGCTCATCCATAGCAATCAGCAGAAAGGAGGAAAAGGGAAAAAACAGCTAACATATGCTTCCTGAACAAGATTACATTGACTGGGCCTGCACCTTCCCTCCCTCTTAGCATCACTGGTGCTAGGAAGAAAGCCTTGCTCCAGTGAAAGCCCTGCCTCAGGCTCAATATTACTCGGTTCAGAGCTAGTGTATCTTCTAGTTTGCCTCCAAAATACTCTGTCACACCCCTGTGGGCTTGGATGTGGAAATCCAACCCTTGCTAAGGAGAAGGGAAGCCAAATCAAGGGGTCTACCAAGCAAAACCATGATTACTGTGCTGTTGATGTTCCTCTTTCGGGCAAACTTCTTATGAAGCAGTTACCTGAGTCTGCTAAGAGGTTTGGGGAGAGCTCTGCAAACTGTGGGTACTACCATAATAGACACAATCTGTAATGATGATATCCCTGGCAGTGGACCCAGCTCCTATAACTGTGCAGTGCCAGGATATGGAGAAAAATCCCCATTTCTTCACCAACTTCTGCTCAGATAACCACCCACAGCATGAATGTGATTATCCTTACACCATTATCTTAGCCTGCATAGCTGCAGATGTTTAGCAACAGAGATTGGCTCAAGACTCTCAGTTTTCATCCAGGCATTACTTTCCTTGCACTCCCAGTGGCATTTGGACAGGGCATTTTGGTCCCGGTCCATTTCTAGTTATTGAGGGTTATGTTTGCTCTTTGAAAATCTCTTCTCTCTTGTTATTTGTCTTTCTGTGGTACTGGATACCAAGAAAGCCTCTCTCACTGTGAGAAAAAGAATGTGCTTTTGTGCCTGTACTGGATTGATTTCCACCTATTTAAGAAAGAGGTGTGACCCTTCAAGTCTGAATTATCCCATGATCCTATGATCAGTTTTTATTACAGTCCCTCTTACCTACAAAGCTTCATAGAAGTCTCTCACTCTGATGCTTTCCAGGCTGAGCAACTCTAAGCTAAACAGTCTGTCAGTTAAGTAAACCGTTATTTATGTTCAGTAAATGCCCTGTTTAATATTTGTAATGTTGATACTCACATGCTTCTTCCACAAAGTCATTGTACAAGAGGGAAGCCATTGCTAAAGTGGCAAACTGGGTGCCCCAAAAGCTCTTTTCTATCCCTAATTCATATCAACATAAGCCTGAAAAAAACTGAGAAAGGAAGAAGTACCCAGACAAACTGACTGCTGCTATTCGTTTTCCAGGACACTGAACCATTTTTCTGAAGGATTTCATTAAGCTTTCCTACCCATGACTGCCCTTATAAATATTTCTATTGCCCGGGGGTCTTGGCAATAACAGTAATGTAGCAAAAATTGCCTTAAATCTGCAGCAGGTTAGACAGACAGTTCTTTGTAATGCACTAAGCTACTGTGAGTGAATTGGCACAGGGTGGCCCTAGTAAAGATGAAGTGCCTTTTACTGTTTGGTTGCATCAACTCTCACCCTGTGCTGCTGGCACAATGGCTGGAGAGATTTCCATGTGAAGCAAGAGCTGGGGAAGACTGTGCTGTTGATAGCTAGATCAAGACTGGCAACAGTGGTGTGGAAACAGGCAGTATGTGAATTTGGGGGCACGAATGTCCTCTGCAGAGGGTGCTAATGAGATGACAAGAAGTCTGTACAGTAGGAAGTGTGATACAGAGCACCTCCAGCTAGTAGAGATTTGCCAGTACACCCTCAAAGAATAGCACAGCACCCTGGGGATAGTAGCATATTAATACACCTGTGTGCTGCACATCCTTCTTTATATAGCCCTGATGAGTTTTCAATGCCTTTCACGGACCTTCTGCTTGCAGAAGATAATGCAAACAACTAATAACACAGAGACTTTGTGGTTCTCCTTGCATTTTCATACCCTTCTATCAGAGATTGCTCACTCCATCCATATAGACAAATGCAACTTTTTTTACAGGCCACATAGTTTAGGGATATCACTTGCCTTGACAGTGAAAATGAAACCCCTTTCTTGAGGGGTTGAGATGTCTTGATCCCCTTTTGAGATTTTTTTGGTTGACATACCCTGATGTGAAGTCTGCTTCACTTTTAAATGCAAATGGTCCATTTTCCCGCCTACTAGAATGGAAAGGTGGAGTGAAATTAGTGGAAGACAGGTCAGTTTGGGGCTGCTCAGGGTCTTGGAAGAGGGATGTCAGTGCTGGTTAGACTCGCTGGTAAGCCAGGTGCATTACCCACATGTCTCTCTGTGACAGAGAGCAGGACCAGGAGCTACAGTTTTTTGCATGACTCAGCAATGTTTCTCACAGAGATTTTAGTCAGCGACAGCTCCACTACATTTTTTACACAGGAAACAAGGCTTGTCCTTGTTACTAACTAAACATACGAAGGTTTTAAGCTTAGCTGAACATGCTTGTCCAGACACCCACTCTGCTATGACAGCTGCAAGTAAAACAGCCCCTGAGCAAACACCTCTATGCACGGAGCCTTATCTTCAACTATTCAGCATCACCTCAGCAAGTTAAGCTTGAACTGTGTGGCCAAAAGACAGAGAAGAGCCAGTACCTTCCCATCCCAGGAATTTCCCAAGGCAGGTGTGAACACGCTGGTTTGTATTTCTTTCATTATGTGCTTACTTATGCATCTCCATTAAATGTATAAATTAAAGAATTTATTTTTTCCACAAAAGTTGACTTTTGCAGAAATTACACCCATGGTTTTGTTCAGTGTCCACACGTGCTTTTAGGGATGATGCAGGACTTCATATTTTTGTTCTGGATGCTTATCTCTAAAGCCACTGAGAAACAGGTTAAGCAAAACTTGCACAAATGACAGAGGATAGTTTCTCTGGCTACAGTGCTGTTCTTTCCTCTGCCCTGCTAAATACCTGACAGAAACACTCGTAAGGGGCCCAGCTCTGAATCTACAGAGTCAATGGGAGTTAATCTTTGTGTTTCAGTGGGAGCATGATCAAAGCCCCAAGTGCTTCTTGACTTGGCACTAGAATCTGTCATCACTCCACTTCAAGCCAACAAAAATTACAGTTGCTGTACCTGTCTCCATTTTTATCCAGTTGCATCTCCTCAGTTGTCCCATTGGATCCAAAGACAGTCATGAAAATACCGGCATCAGTACCGCCACTTTCAACATCTCCAGTCACAACGGTGACTTCATAGAGGATCTGTTGAAGATTGGAAACAATCAGAAGGTCTCATTTGACAGCTGTCCTTAAACCATGCAAAAGCCTTGTCAACAGGCTAGACAGGCTTTGCTGGAGGTCTACATCTTTGCCAGAAACAGTTACAACACAGCTTCTTGGTTTCTCTTCACCACATGGTTCTCAGAAGTAAAGCTAGAGATTGAAACTTCCAGGACCTTCTATCTATGACTTCTTCCTGCAGATTTTACCAGCCTAGACAAACTCAGAAAGAGACACATTCATTGTGACAACCATATGAATCACAGAATCATTGAAACGATCGGTTTGGAAGGGACCTTTAAAAGTCATCTAGTTCTAACTCATTTCCATGTGCAGGGGCACCTTCCACTAGACCAGGTCTCTCCAAGCCCCATCCAAACTGGCCTTGAATGTTTCCAGGGATGGGGCATCCACCACCCCTCTCAGCAAACTGTGCCAGGATCTCACCACCCTCAGTGTAAAAGATTTCTTCTTTATATCTGATCTAAGTCAGCCCTCCCTCAGATTAAAATCATTATCCCTTGTCCTATTGCAACATCAGCAATGAAGACCTGTTAAACTGCTTCTCCATGGGAGTCGCTACCATGATATCAGTGGCATGGTCTCCAACCCTCTGCTACTGCTGTCTCTTCCCAGCACTCTGGATCTCTGTACTGCACCAAACTCCTGCCAATTAGAAACAAACCTCTCTCAAAGGCACAATTGTTCCTTTTTCTTGACCACAATATGTTTCCCACAAGTGTTTGGTGTTAATCAGGGCAATATTAATTCAACATCATTAACGGTTTTGCGGTTTATACACCAGAACACTCTCTATAGCAGAAAAATGCATCTATCCTGCTCCCCAGTGGGATGCACTCTGCTGCATTGGACACAGAGTGTTCCCAGATCTTGTACACTGAAGGAATGCCAATTTGTGAAAATATGTTTTGCATAATTTTCACCTTATTATCTTAGTTTTGAAATTTTCCCCTGACATGGCAATAATAAGACTCCAAATAGACACATCAAAATCATACAAGTCCCAGTGACTGCCAGGAGTGTTAAGACTTTGAGGACACTTAGATGCTTTCAAGATCACGGCAATAAGAACTCTGAATTTAAGAAGAGGAAGAATATCAAGAAACAGCCCCAACAAAACATATTTCAAATAGTGCACTGCTAGGCCAGTTTTATTGGCCTGAATTGTGACTGTCATGTAAATAAACAGCATACAAGAATAACATAAGAGAAAAATTACATTTCATGTTTGTGCAATCCTGAATAACCTGTTCATCACATATAAATCTGCACGCATTTTAAATCATATCAATGCACCATATTTGCTATAGAAAGCAAAGAAGAATTTTTAATTTTTTTAACCAATGCATTAAAGGTTTTTAATGACTGTGGTGCACATTGAGCAATTTCTCTAAGTATGGGAAGGCAAATGCCTCTTTCAAGCAAAAGGAGGGAATATGAAGCCAAGAAGAAAATTAAGTTGAAATGGGTATAGATGACTGTACAAGAGTTAAACAATAAAAAGCACACCAAAAACACAAAATCAAAAAAAGTATTAGTTTTCCCAAAGATGCTAAACTTATTAATTGTCTTAGAACTCTAAAAAACCTTGTTAGACTCAGTTTCTAACTACAGCTATTTACAAGGGAACAGTCCCGAATTCCCTCAACTAGGAGACTGATCAGAACATCAAATGCTCACTTCTGATTCCATGTCCCATGCATCTCCCTGGATTTCCTTCAAATCTTTCAGCAAGTTTCTGGCCTAACATCACAGGAAAAAAATTCTAGTTAGATGTGTCTATTTTTGGCATCCTTATGAAAATAAATATTCAGGATTGTGCTTTTAAAGGAAGATTGAACATAAGTCTTCATTAACATCCACTTCAATCTACAGGCAAGCCATCAGCTCACTAATAGGAGTTTGGAAACCTTATCCAAGAGGTTAAACGACAGATGGGACATTTTTATGAGATTGTTTTTAACTTTGGTATTCAGTCTGAGAGATGGTTTTTTTTTGTTCCCTCTTAGGTCAATTCCACCATTGAAAACTGCATTGATTTGTTGAATACTTCACAGATGCTAAAAATGTTATCAAGTTTCTGTGTGTCTGGGGAACAAGAAAGATTTCAGGAGAATATCTTTAGCTTGGGAATCTAGAGCAATATAAAGAAAAATTAATGTACTATGGAAATGTAACCTGACTGTAAATAGAAGCACATCTATAGAGATTTTAAATTGCCATACAGGTATTAAACACAGTTATTATTGTCACATTCATCCAGAGTGTTATTTCTGCTATAAATCTCACATCCAAAATCAGCATAGCTTAGCTTTCCAGTTTGTCTTTGGTTAAAACATGGCATAGCAGATATTACTTCAAAATTCATATATATGGATGAAACAACTACAGAGTTTTTTATTACTTATCCAACTTTAATCAGTCATTCTTTTCAAATATCAGGCTTACAAATGTCTCCATGTTTCAACATCTTCCAATAATTATTAGTTTCTGACTGAATTCAGTTTCTTTATCCTGTTAGAAAAGTTGAGATGTAGCCACACTGTGGAGAGATAAAAATATTAATTTCCACTTCTCTAATCTGATGAGTTAGAAGTATTTCCTCACCTTGCAGATGCTTCTATTCTATGGGTTCCAGCTATGCAATAGGTGTTCCAGGTGTGGTGACAAAATGGGAACATGTTGCTGAACTCTGTCCTACCTGCTCTGCCTTTCTGTCTATGCCATGGTTGCATCCAGACAGCCTTACTAAACAGTGTTCTAAGCAGTAATGATTCTAAACCATACCTAAAGACTTTGCCAGAGAAAAAACATAGAAAAGGAAAGCAAATAAGAGATTTGGGCCACACAGAAATATGAAAGCTGCTGACATAACATCGGTCTGCTGAGGTCCCTACAACAGCTAAAAATACAAGGCCTAGTGCCTACCTTGATGCCAACATTAACACATTCTGCATCCAGGATGTTGAGGATTCGTGAAGTGAGCCCATCACCTTTGTCTCTGGCCAGCCAGCACTTACAGACAAAGTTATACATGACGCCTTTGGTGGGCACAATAATGTTGAGCTCTTCCATCATCCAGCAGCTCTCAGGAGTGGCACCATCGTGCCCAATCTGTGAGAGTCAGAGAGAAAACACTTCCTGGTTAAAGGGGACTTCTTTGGAGGAGAGATTCTGATTCTGTGATTTAACCAGCCATGAAGGACTATGAGTCTACGTATACCATCACACAAATCACTTCCACAGTAGAATGGAGGGAGCTCTGAAATAGTTAGTGTCATTGCTGCCCAACAGGCAAGATGTCAGTGTACATGGCAACCAATGTGGGCAAGGAAGCTCAGGCTGCTGAGTGTGAGGGAAGGCCAGTCTCAAAAAAGCAAGGTAGACCGGGCTGACCTACCTGAAAACATGTCCAGTCTCTTACTACTCTGTTCCTGCTCCATTGACATCTCATTTGCAGTTGTCAGCAGATGCATCTCTCCACCTTTCCAAGCCCTTCCACTGCCGTTACCACTCTTAGAAGTAACTATCAAAAGTTTCATAACCAAGATGGAACATACAGCTCAGCAAACACCCACATGTACTATTCAAGCACATCTTCCCTCAAAAGTCCACATATAACTCAACAATATGTATGAGGCTGTTTCTCTACTTCCCATCTCCTTAGACTGAAAAAGTTCCATGTTTGTACAGGAGACAAGAGATGGAGCTTACATCTGTAGCTTGTTGATTTTCAAGGACCACCTTCCCCAAGCTCAAGAATGATACATCCTGGAGAGCAGGAAGTCACACAAGGGTAGCCACAAGCCTGCATGGATGAACAAGGAACTCTTGACAAAATTTAGGTGGAAAAAGGAAGAATACTAGAGGTGGCAGTAGGGTAGGGGACCTGGAGAAGTACAGACACTGCACAGGTTTGCAGGGATGAGTTTAGGAAAGCCAAAGCCCACCTGGAACAGAATCTGTCAAGGGCCATGAAGAGCAACAGTCAGTGTCCCTACAGGTATATCAGCTGCAAAAGGATGCTGATAGTGCCAGTTTCTCCAAGAACGTGCATGTGTACCACTTAGTGAGGGTGGGCAGTGCAGCCCAGGGCAGACTTAGGAGCAAAATTATGTATCCCACCTGATGTATGAACCTGTGCCAGACAGTCATTCCAAACTGCTTCCTGCACAAAAAAAAGCTGAATAAAAGATCTACCTGCACTTCATTATTTTCAGAGTAAGTGTTGTTTATGTAATTACTAGGAAAAAGAGGTCCTTAGCTCCTGCTGGTTTTTGTTTTAGATTATCAGGATATTTATGGTGGCTTGGAAAATAATTTTTAATAACAATTTCATCTAGGGTGATATATCTGTGGTATCTTTTTTTTCTCCCAAAATACCAAGTGATCCTTTTCATCTGACTGTCTCAGCCATCACAGCTATTGGGAGTATTACTGCTACACTAATGTCTGTGCAGCTGCAGAAAATTAGAGCTAACCACTAGGGAAATTCAAGTCTACAATGGATGCATTAATCCTCAGATTCTTGGGGTGTGAAGTGAATGGGAATATAATATGTGCTTTCCCATTCCCTCTCTGGCAGCTTGGCTGGCCTTCTTCAAACCCAAAGCCTCTCTGGGAGTCTGCATGCAGCCTCTAGAGACCTGTTGCAGGATGGCATGGACAAGACAGTGAGAAAAGTTCAGGGGCAATGGTTCTGCAGTGAAGCAGGGACAAAGCAGCTGGAGGGAAAATCCCAAAGGACCTATTAAAATTTTCTGTTCTTTTGGGTTCACTACACACACACATCCACCAAAATTATAGAATCATAGAAAGGTCTGGATTGGAAGGAACCTTAAATATCACCTCATTCCAACCCCCTTGCCATGGACAATGACACCTTCCGCTAGAGCAGGTTGTTCCAAACCCCATTCAACCTGGCCTTAAACAATTCCAGAAATGGGCAATCTGCAGCTTCTCTGGGAAAAGCATCATTCCAAGACATTGCTAGGTAGCAGATTTTCACAGCAACCTGTATCTTCTTTGGTAGCTGTCACTGACCGGAAGAAAACATCCTTCTCATCCAACTGGCTTGGAGAACCTGAACAGAAGCAGATATCTAAGCGCCTCAAGAACAATGTTATAAATTCTGGGACAAATTCAGCCAGTGCCGAGTCTTCCTTATGGCTGGACTTTCAGAGCAAAGCACCAGGATTTGTCTTCAATTCTAAGCAAATCTTTAGACAGACCATGTCAATACAGTGAATGATCCCAAGCCATGGCCACACCAGCAGTGTAGCCTGGATGTGCATACCAATATCACGACAGGGTGTTTGGGTTGAGGTGTTTGAACTAAATTAGAATGACAGAATTTCAAAGACAGGTAGATCCTTGGGCTATTTGAAAACCTTTGTAACTCATTTCTACTGTCCTTGAGGGACTGTTGTGTATTTCACATCACTGAGACTAAGGTGTTCAATTTGTACTGAGCAGCTCACAATCACATAGAAACTGAACGCAATGGCAGAGGGAAAATGCAAGAGAAAGTTTGGAGGAAGGAAGGAAAGAAGGAAGGAAAGACAGGTAGATCCTTGGGCTATTTGAAAACCTTTGTAACTCATTTCTACTGTCCTTGAGGGACTGTTGTGTATTTCACATCACTGAGACTAAGGTGTTCAATTTGTACTGAGCAGCTCACAATCACATAGAAACTGAACGCAATGGCAGAGGGAAAATGCAAGAGAAAGTTTGGAGGAAGGAAGGAAAGAAGGAAGGAAGGAAGGAAGGAAGGAAGGAAGGAAAGGAATCCTACTTATTCTGGAAGATTCAAAGAATAATAGAGAATCCTGAGAGTCAGGTCCCTAGTCACTGAGGGACTGCACTTGCACTTGCAACACTTTTATGTCCTTGACTTTACTCTGTGTTTGTGATGGAGAAAGGCTCTGAACCGGAAGAGGTTTATAAAGGCAGGCCAATGCAGGACTCTTCTGGACATACCTGTGTCTCTCTGCAGCAACAACACTCCAGGAACAAATACACTTTCATTCATTAGGAGGAGAAATATTTAAACTTGTTTTAAGAACACACTACAAAGTGCCTGCACCAAATAACTTGGGTTATTTATTTTCATGTCAACATGTCTATAAAAGTACACCAGTAGTAAATATTACGCCTGTAGGCTTACAAGACAGGTATAAATGGGCCCCTTTCAAATTACTTCATGTTCCACTGTTTCTGCTTTCACTGAAGTGTCTTTGTAGCAAGAGAATAATACCAAACTAGAAGTGGCATCACACTGCGAGTCTTGCATTCCTACTAAATTGTACAGTCTGCTGCCTGGGTTATACAGAGGGCTCCAGGAAACTTAATCTTCCTGCTATGCTATTTTCACATTGTAACTTATATTCAGAACTTTTCACCTTCTACAGAAACAAACAAAAACCAAATCTAAGAATGAACTGTTCCTCACTTTTCCCAAGCAGATAACTAATATTTTCTGCAATGTCCCTGAACACTGCAATTTTCTACAAGAAAAATGTGGACTGATTCCATGGCAACCACAGCTGACTGGCAAATCAATGTCGTCGCTGAGACATGGATCAACAAAAAGGGACCTTCCAAGCAGAGGGCACTGCATGAAGGAAGGCAGAAGGCCAGGAACAGATGGCTCCTCCAGCCATGAGCTAGGAGGTCACAAACCAAAAGTGAGAAAGGGGGGATGCAGCAGACTGGTGAGATCCCTGAGAATAGGGGTGAAAGAGTGCAGAATAGCATCACCTAGCTCAAAAGATATAAGGTATTTCTTTTTCTAGTTCTCTATATCTGATTTGCAACCTTCATCTTCTTTCTCATTTGTATCCCTTTTCAAATTAATTTTTGCCTTGCCTTTGTCAATTTCAAAGTGTCTGCTCCTACTTTCTTCTATTCTCTATCCCTTCCTCACCCTCACAATTATCTTCTGACTCACAAGGATCTTGGTGGTGTGTGATGTAAAGCATACTTATTTTCAGGTTCAGACACATGTGAAATCTCATTAGCACATCCCTGTTTAAATTCCTTTTAGACCCAAGGGCCTTCCCGTCACTGCTAAGAATAAAAGGACCATGTGCTTTCTTTGGCCACGTGTTTCGTATGCCTCCAGTACTCATGCTGCATTCACAGCATACCTCCACTTTTTTGATCTCCCCAACATCTAGGCCCCAGACAGAGAATTTCTCTACAGAGCCATCTGCAAATTCATCTTTTCCTTCTGGAAGATCCAGCCACAGCCTCTCCGTCTGCACTTTCTGAGGACCCATGATGATGATGAATACACGGCTGTCGGTGCTGGAGTCATACTCCGTGCCTGTTGTGACGGTGACGTGGTATGGGATCACTGCAACAAACACAAATTTATTCACCAGAAAACCCACACACATACACAATTATATGAGACTTGAGAAAACCAGGGACTCAGCCCATCAGAGGGAGCAGTTGTGCATGTTAAATAGGTTCACATCCCATTGAATTCATTTGGAGAAGGGATAACATCATGCTTCGTTGGGCTACAAGTGTGCTGTGGAGACTACTTTCCCGTGGCACGCTTGGGACTGAATTCTGCTAGGGTTAATTTCCCCAGACAACCCTATCGGCAGCAAGGAGTTTGTAAGTCCAGATTTCTCCCTAATAGATTACAGAACAGCAAAGGGTTTGAATCCTTATTGACACCAAGAGACCTTCCTGAAGATGAGTCGGAGCACCTAAATCTGAAACAGACTATTAGGCCAAAGTGATCTTATACTCCCCATTCAATAAAGGCAAATAAATCTGTGCTGACTCCAAGGTAAGACATCACTGACTGAATGTCCCAGTACAACCACAGATGCTCTCCTTTGTGCCTCATTCAAGGATTGCTGTGATATATGAGACAGCTCAGGGTTTCAGCATCCCTTTGGAAATCCAGACAGGCACTGAATAATCCTTGTATTAAAGTTAAGTCACTCAATAATTTTACACATTGCGTAATAATATTGGTTAGGGGAAAAACTTTCAGACCAAGCCTTGTGAAAAAGGAGGAGGTTTTTCTGTGGTTTTCAGAAATTTCAGTTCAGCTGTTAAAAGGGAGGAAGTGCCAGACTGCTTTTCAAGGGCTTTCCAAAAGCTCATTTGGGTAAGCCGAGCAGGCAGTGCAGAATTAGTCGCTGAATACTCGTTTGATTTCTCAGAACATTTGTGCAGGGCTGTTCAAACAGTTCTGACAAGACTCAGAGCTCTGAAACTTGCTTTGTCACAGGCTCAAAACAGCCTGGCTTCATCATCACTTTTTTGATTGTAAAAAAATTCTGTAAATTGACAAAAAATTTGATTGGTTATCAAATTACCCAAGATTGACATCTAATTTTGCTTTATGGTGACTAACAACATTTTTGAGATAGGGGTTGTACTAGAAACTCACATCAGACTCAGAATATTTGTGCAACATCAGGGAAGACATGAAATCATGCTGATCAAATCTGTTCTTACCTGTGGACAGAGCAGAACCTGAAGAGATTCATTCAATCCCAACTTGAGGACTTTGTGTACCAACACAAAATGAGCTGATGATTAGGCAAGATTTATTCTCCCCTTTATGGTATAATTTACATTTCAGTGTGTGCATCAGCATAATGATATGCAATGCATTTAGAAGGAAAAAGGGTTTAGCTGTAGTCAAGGCAGATTTTATAAGAATATATTGAGAGGTCACATTTAGAACAGCTGGAGACTTTTAAATAGAATATATTTTGAATAGGGACAAAAAACTCTTTTATACAGTTTTGATCCTGTTTCTCTGTGCCAGACTAAGTTCAGAGAACTACCAGCAATTGCAGATGATGTTGCATCCTCAAGCCAAAGTATTTTAAACAATTATTTTTAAAAAAATTGAAAAAAAAAGGAGGGAGAACTATGAGAAATTGTCATTTCCCACTTTAAATAATGTATACAGAGACATAGAGTAGTTTACGACCAGACAGCAGGAAACACTATTTTCTGTTCTTTCCCCTGAAAACTGGAAAAGGAATCCTTTGATTTGTTTACTTCCCCTCCCTGTTGCCTTTCTCTTTCTTTGGGACTCAAATTTTTTCGAACATGAAAACCTCCCACTTTTTCAAACATGGGAGAGTGCAAAACAGAGGGCATGTGCCCACAGCTGGACACCACAGGTCCTCCAGCCCATTTCCCTTTGCCCCATTTCTTTGAGTCCAAGTGCAGAGTTCAGGCTGCTGTAGGGCATGTGGCCCCCTCACCAGGAGGTGGGTTTCACTAGGGTTGCATCCATATCATCTTCAGTGCTGTGTTCCAGCATGAAGCAGGGGTCTCTGTTCAGATCCAGGTGGTATCCAAGCCAAGAAGACCTTTCCTGTGCTCCATCCTCACATTACCTCCTGCTCTTAAAATGCATTCACCAATTTGATCATGGCAGATTCAGGACTGTGCTTTTCAGACTGTCACTCCCTTTCTCAGACAACTCCAAATACCACTTCCCTAATCAACTAATTAACAGCTGGCTTTTTATCCAGCTCAGGAAGTGGCTGCCTGGCTCACCTAGTCCATCTGGTCTGACATTCCTTCAGGGAGCAGTTTCCTTAATGAGGCCATGTCACTGAACAGATATAGTGGTGATGACAAGCACCAGGACTCAGTGAAGAAAGACCACCCTGGCACAATGGGGATGATGTAAACTGTCCTAGCTCTACTGGAGAGCTGTTCTCATGGGAAATGCCCATTATTTGTGAAACTACACAGAATGGCAACATGGCAGATGTTATCTATCTATTGTCACACCACAGAATTAATATCAGAAGGAACATGGGAATCCGTTATTTTTTGTTTGAGCACAATATGAGATTACAAAAGAAGGGTTGCCCCAAGACACGTGGGTTGCAGACCAGGTTAAGCAATGTGCACCATTACATCTGCTTTCCAGCTGAAAGATGTGGGACATGCAACCCAGACACCACACAACAACAAGAGGCTACTGTGCCTCAGATGAGCTGCAGTAACCACCTGTGTGAATTCCCTTGACCATATCAGTGGAAGATATCTCAAACTTCTAATCCAAATTACATCATTTACACTTGGTTTACCATAGATATTTTAAAGCAGTTCAATTATTTTGCACTTGATATGGACTAAGAGCACACAGACAGACAGTAATCGTGATGCAGCTGCTGCCCAGTTACTCATTACAAGATATTACATTAACCATACATATAGAAACTAAATCTAAAGCTATAAAACCCCATGTAGGACATCAACTAACTGTAGGTGCAATTTAGCTATTGCATCATTGTCCTGGAACACAGAGGTGGTCGAAGAAAAGTGATATTAATCATAGAATCATAGAATGGTTTGAGTTGGAAGGAACCTTAAAGATCATCTGTTTCCACCCCTCTGCCATGGGCAGGGGCAAATTCCACTAGACCAGGTTGCTCAGAACCCCATCCAGACTGGCCTTGAACACTTCCAGGGATGGGACAGCCACAGATTCTCTGGGCAACCTGCGTCAGTGGCTCACCACCACTGCAGTCAAGACTTTTTCCTAATCTCTAATTTAAATCTATTCTCTGTCAATTTGAAGTCATTACCCCTTGTACTGCCTCTCTAGGCTCTTGTAAATAATCTCTCTCCATGTTTCTTGTAGGCTCCCTTCAGGTACTGGAAGGCTGCAATTAGGTCACCCTGATGCCTTCTCTTCTCCAGGCTGAACAATCCCCATTCTCTCAGCCTTTCTTCATGGGAGACAAGTTTCATGACTCTAATCACCTTGCTGGCCCCCCACAAATGGCTTTCTGGGCTGCCAGTGCACATGGCTGCGGCAGGTCGAGCCTCTCATTCACCAGCACTACCAAGTCCTTCTTGGCAAGGCTGACCTCAGTCTGCTCATCCCCCACAACTGTATTGATGCCAGGGGTTGTTCCAACACAGGTGCAGCACCTTGTACTTGGCCTTGTTAAATCTCGTGAGATAATGCATGGTGATGAAGTTACAAGGAAACATTGATGTGCTGGGAGAAGTTTTTCACAAAGGCCAACTTCTGCAGATAGGCACTGATCTTCCAGGCTCCCTCCACTGCAAGGACAGAGACAAAACCTGCACAACTTGCCCACTTCTTATTATCAGCTAAGCAAGACTAGACTCCCTGCATGAAGCTGGCCTTTGCAGACACAGACTGGTATATTCCACTTCTTATGAGGCAAAATCCAGAAACATTTTTTTCTTTTCTGTTCAGCTTTGTCTTGTCTCAGGAAACAGAACCTAAAAATGAAACTCTACACTCGTGCCTCAAACTCTTTCCATCAGTTATTTGAGCAGAAAACATGGTCCAGAGTTCATGGACTCCCTGCTTTTCAGTGACAGCACTTGCAGACCTCGATTCTTTTCCCAGTTATATGAGAGACGACCTTCTAGAAAAGAGCTAACTCACCTAAGCACTCTCAGCCAAAGCTTATTTTTTGAGAGTCAAGAAATTTGTTGGTACTTCTGCTCAGGTCCCTGTATCCCTCTCCTCTCCCAACACAGCAGCAGTTGTGATGCTGCTGTGTGTGGCAAGGAAAAAATGTGAAGGGTTCTAAATTCAATCACATTTACATTCATATTGAATAAACATCCTTGGCAAAGAAGCACTGCTAACCTGATAATGGAAAGGGAAGATGGGTTCTCCAGAAATTCAAAGCTGCCTTTGGTAATTCAGATTTAATATGCTACATGAATACCATCTTGAGTAGGTCAAAGAAACAGGCTGGAAACACCGAATTTGCTGTGAACTTCATGGCTTGTTTCACTGTTGATTTCTGAGAGAAAGCTATAGGAAAAGCAACAAACACAGAAACACAAGAAACAATCCAGCCTTCCCCAAAGCAGTCCCAACAAAAGGAAAAGAGACACAATCTTCTGTTCTGCCTCTTCTTTCTCTTCAGC